TGTTCATAAACCGGTATTCTTAGGAAACATTAGTTGTTGAACTACCTTCAAAGGCAGAAGCAAAGAGATAAAGGACTAGCAACTGACCTTTGTGTAAGGCAACGCAGTATAGCTCTCGAGCGCATGACAGAGCACATCAAAGCCGGAGTAGATGGCCACATTTCGAGGCATACTGTAACAGTTCCATCGAGGAAGCCTCCAGAATTGAGGCATGACATTTTAAAACTTGCCTCTTGATATTTTCAGGATCAACAATGGCCAGCAAGGGTTTGATACACCGTTGTCGTATGCCAGATTTACACTGATGTTTCGGAAGGTCCATAATTGCAGCACCTGGAACATCGGATAATCCAAATTTTTGATGCACTATAAAAACTATTCAGAAACCACACACGCCGCGGTGGTAGCAGGGTTACCCAGCCTATGTCTTGATTTCCACAACGAGCGCTATACCAAAGGTCCTGACACAGTGAATCATTTCGGTGTGTGTCTTGGGTGGGTGGCCAACCACGAGGGCGCACGCTGAGGGCAGGCAGAACAGCTCCGATTTAGTGGTCGATTAGAACCAATATGGAAACGGCTTTTCGCCCTTCCCCTCCCACCCCTTCCCCCTCAAAAAAAGGCATCCTATTTTCAAGGTCACCGAAGTCATCCAACAAAGTTCATTGAAAGAACTTGGATGTGCCCACAGGAGAAACCGCTTCACCGGCTCGTGGGAACTGAATACTTTCTGGTAAGTGAAGTCTTGAAATGAATCAATACGGTATTCAGTTGAACCTGTCGTTTCGCTGCCAGTGCCAGCCGTGGTGGGAACAGCAATCAGCGGAAGCATTGGATTCTGTGGCACCATATTTTTGCCAAACGGTAGACAGACGAAGTCGAAGAAGTCGGACTCTGGATTCGAGCAGTATAATGCTGCGGCCTGTAACAAACACATCATATGTTTTTTCTAAGTGTTCCTGATGTTCTTCCTTCTGAAGGAGACCTATTGTTCTAGCGGACCTTTTTGTAGCTTTTCGTGGCTGACCGCAGGGCAAAAATCTTAATACGAGCACTAATTGAAAATATTCTATTCATTAGCCCTAGATAGTACTTTCACGTGCTGATTTTTGTCGTCTACTATACTTTCCCATATGGTCGTGTTATAAAAAGCACCTAACTACTTCAGGTCAGTTTTAGCATTCAGCCGAAGAAGGGCGCCTTGTAGGATGATGTGGTACACATGTGTGCCACGGCGGCGGCGCTCGCTGAATCGCGGGTGTCCCTCGTGGCTCAAAAAGCCAAAACGTGCAACACCGTCGACGTGTTAAGTGGATCCAGCAGTTAATAAGTTGGTTAGCTTGCGGAATCCGGAAGTTTGAGATTCCACTAGAATAAGCCGTAACGACCACCCGTCACTGCCCCACTTTGGCACTACATGACTTCAGACCAAAGTCGAAAACGCGGTGTTCTTTAAGAGAAACCAATGAAGACCGAGAGGTCCGCAAGCTAACGAGCTTCTTATACTCACAAAGTATTCGATCACTTATAAAAAGTTCTCCTAATTTCTTCTCTTTCTTGGTCTAATTGATTGATTGATTGATTGCCAAAACTTCACCTTTGCTGTATCGATTACAGATCCGCCTCCGACAGCCACAAATGAGTCACAACCAGCATTACGAGCAAAATCCACAGCTTTCAGCATACCTGAAATTCCTGTTTTCAAAACCCGTTTCACGATAAGCATTACTCTTTCAGTGACCTTCAATTTTAAGAGATAGTTAACGTCCTAGAACCGGTTAATTTGCATAAAATCGAGAAGTACATTATTGAGCACTCTGGAAATGATGGTGACGAAAAATTCGGACACCTAAGGAGGTGAACCCTTCACGGATCATAGCCGAACACTCGGAATAATTTTGTGGCAGAATTGCTCCCGTTCCTTGACTGAGGCATCGAAAGCCAACGAATGGCGTGATAGATCTGTAGTGTAATGGACAAGGAAGTGGCACTGAAAACATGGGCACGAGTTCGAGTCTCGCTCCAGGCCTTACATTTTTTCGCTGGAACTCCAGTTTGT